GGCTGGATAAAGGTAGCGAGGGACTGCCGCAAAGAGACAGAGAGAGAGAGAGAGATGACAACCAGAAAGAGAGAGAGGGAGAGAGCGGGAGAAAGAGAGGGAGAGAGAGAGAGAGAGCGACAGAGAAGGAACCATACATCGGGAAGGAAGGATTCACGACACAAATCAATACACGTTTGCTTCTAACACGACCGACGACGTAGGAGGACGCATATGATTTCAAACAATATGCGCATACATGTGCATATATACATTTACATGTATATGTGTGAGTATATATATATATACATATATATATATACAAATCGGTCGTAGCTGTTCATATATCCATAATCATACATATTTTTATATATATGTATATACATATATGTGTGTATGTGTACATGTATGTGAATATATATATATATATATATACATATATATATATATACATATGTGTGTGAGAGTGCGTGTCTGCCAACACGGATCCGAAACAGCCAATTCCCAACACAATGCTTGCACTTGGAGGTTCTTGCATGTTTTCTGGGGAGCTGGGCTCCGCTGCCGGGTCCGCCGCGTGGTGGTCGCCATCGCCGCCCCGTCGCCGCCTCGTCCTGGGCTCCGCTGCCGGGGGCGCCGTGCTGTGGTTGCCTTCGCCGCCGCTTCGTCGCCGCCGCTTCGTCGCCGCCCCCGTGTTCTGGGGGTGCCCAGTCGGTCCAGCGGTTTTGCGCCTGCCCGTCGGTTTGCGCCTGCCCGTCGGTTTGGCGGCTACGTGGTCGCGGTCGCCGCCCCGTCGCCGTCCGGGCCTGCGCTATTTCGCAACTCCTTACACTGATCTGCGCTGCTTTCCCTGCGCTGCACCAAGTGAATCTTCTTCTACAAAACCACACCTGGGATCTACACCCCCGTGAAATTATCCGCCCCCAATGGATTTGCAACGTACACACGATTCTGCCACACAGTGAATTCCCAGAAGAATTCATAACATCCCAGCCACGCCGGCAATCCCCCAATTATGTCCGCGCGCTGGTTTATCAAAGTCCAGGGGTTGCCATACATTGTTGGCAACAAATGGGTCCAAGTCCACGCGCTCGCGTCGTCGCGAACGCATGCCCAAATTCTTAAACACGGAATTTCGTGAGGTTGTCAAAATCGAGTGTCACAAAGCAAGCGCAGCACCTGGCTTGCAACACGAGTTTTCAAAACTACGCGCTCGTCCTTGCGAATCATTCTGGAAGCCGTTGGTCTTCAACATGTTCGCCGAATGCAGCGAAATCCGCCTCTCGCAAGCGCATGCTGGGGGCACGATCCTTGTCAAAAAAAATCAGCCGCACGCGAATGCCGAAATCGCCCAACGACCTTCTTCACCGACGCGTGGACACCATCATCGTCACCGGCGCGATCAGCATCGGCGCCGTCATGGGCCTTGCCATCACATCGCCGTCGTCGCCACCAACATCGTTACTATCACCATCGCATCTGCCATGGTACCGCGCCCGCCCGAATCACCGACTCACACTAAAGTGCTGGCGCGCCTGCGAGGCCTGCGAGACGCGGTCAGCGCTGCCGCGGCTGCTTCGGTCGCGCCAGGCTAGCTGGACGCTCTGCGCGCGAACTGCGCGCGCCAACGCGGCCGCAGGAATGCGCCAGCCAGCACCAATCAGTCATCGCAATCGGCACCGCATGGGATTTGCAAGCCAAGTTGAGGGTGGGTGGGTGGGATGATTGCGCGCTCAGAGGAGCAGTGGAGCTGATAACTTCGAGTTGAGCAAAGTAGCAGGCACCACATAGATTGTACCACGCAGATTGCTCGAAATTGACTGCACCACGCAGATTGCACCAATTAGGTTGCAGCAAGAAACAAACTCCCCCACCCCTTCCCGAAGGCGGGATTGCCCGCGCCCCCAACGACACTGCAATTTCCACATGGTCCTGCTTCATCGTTCATTCTGCACAGACGTCACACCAAGCAAGGGAGACACCGCTTTGATCGACCCCCTTGTCAAATAATACTATGCGCGCGCACTCGTTTACCAAAATGCACATGTCAATAGCCCCCTGCAGAAGACATGAAAAAAACACCCGCGCCATATCGGTATTCTTCCAACAACTTAGATTTCGCAAGGGGTTCAAGGTAGAGGTTCTCGGCGACCCGAAACACGATGGTTCCCACCCGTTTTCATAACAGGACAATAACGCGCGCTCTTGCACATCCTGGAGGAAACCAAGTATTGTTCAACCTATTCGGCAAATCGTTAAATGGGGCCGCGCGGGAATGTCGCGCGCTTGTCGAAACTTCAAAGCTTGCCGGGGCGGGAGGGGTGGCGGGGGGGGTGGGCGCGACCCATGTCAAATAAAGCCATTCGGGCCACCCGCGCGCGTCGGCCGCGCGCGAATGCCGAAATCCCCCCAACCAAAACTTACGACACATGGATGTCATCATCGCTGTCGGCGTGATCAACATCGGCGCTGTCGTGCGCCTTGCCGCCGTCACTGTCACCATCGTCACCAGCATCGCAATCATCATCGCGTTTGCCGTGGACGACGCCATCCAAATACCGAGCCCGCCCGAACCGCCGACCCGCGCTGAAGCGCCCCGCGCCAGGCGCGGCCTGTGGCCCGAACAGCTCTGCCTTGGCGATCCACTTCAGTAACAGGTTACGTCAAGGTTCGGCCCAGCCAGGCCGATTGAAGGGGCCCCAGGACACACAAATAAATACACACAAACAAAAATAATCATTGTATTTTCCCATATTTTCTGGGTTTTTGTCTTCCCCCCCAATTCCAATATGTTGTCCAATATTTTCTGGGGAGTCGACGATTAATTGTGTCTGTGTGTTTCTTCCCCTCCTGGCCGATGGCGGTCGTGCTGGCACTGTGCGGGCGGAAAGGGGGGGGGGCACTCAGCGTTGCCGGCGTCGCCCTACTGCCAGAGATAGCGCCCGGCGGGCGCGCGTGTGCATGCACACTTTTTCTGTCGCATGTGCATGCGCACTGTGTATGGGTCGCGGTTGCAGGCGAGGCGGCTCGGTGGACATCGGCGCGCAGGGAGGGCCGCCGCGCGGCTGCCAATTCAAGTTCAGAAACGGCCTGCTTGTCTTTGTTTTTTGTTGTTAGACAACATGAAAATCAATGACAAAAACATATCCGGCGGGATAGCCTGGCCGCTGCTGCGCTCGGCGCTGATCGCGCGACGATAACTCACAATGTCATATGGGATCTACGTCGCCCTGGGCCACATGTACCCTGCTCAAGGTCTAACGTTCCCAATGATGTCCTGCAGACTTGATCGGCAGTCAACATGCAGCATGCCGCTCGGGCAAACTGCAAACCAGCCAGCTGTGTTGCGCTCTCCCGAAGAGATCAGCGTATGACATCTGCTAGTTTACATTTCGGGGGTCAACATTACTCCTATCAGGGCCGCAGCGCGTTTCGTACAGTGGGGCCGCTGAAATAAGAAACGCCAAATAAATAACGAAGCCCTTCTGGGCCCCAAGACCGCCTTCGTTCACGAGGAGGGCTGGAGGAACAGCCACGGAATGACCCAAGGAACACCGACCCCCTTCCGAATCCAAACTGTTCCTCCCTTCCGCGCCTTGCTTGTGGCAATGCAGTCGGGGCGTTGACCTAAGGAGCCCTAAGTAAGGAACGAGGCCCCTTTTTTCCAGAAGTTAAACTTCGATGTCCCATCGAAAACACAAGGAAAACCTGAGGCAAGCTGTGAAATAATGGAGGAACACGGAGCCCCTCCCCAACGAAAAGGGTTCCTTCCTCAGGGCCCCGACTGTACTGCACCGCTGATCTCGTTGGCCGAGGCCCGGGGCGGCCTCCTCCCCGCTCCCCCTGCGGCTCGCGCGCGGCCTCTCCTCGGTGCTCGCGGCGGCGCACCCGCCAGGAAGACAGCGCGCGCGAGTGCGAAGGCCGGCGGCGCGCACCCCGGGAGGGGGGGGGGGAAGACAGACGTGGGCGGGCGTGGAGGAGGAGGAGGAGGAGGAGGAGGAGGAGGAGGAGGAGGAGGAGGAGGAGGAGCACCCTTCCGAGGAGGCCGCGAGGCCTGCCCCCCGCTCACTGTCCCCCCTCGGCGTGCCGTCGAGAGTGTCAACCTGTGGACATGTGCACACGCCGCGTGCCCGGGCGTCCGACCACCTGCCTCCTCCTCCTCGTCCTCCTCCACCTGCCTCCTCCTCCTCCTCCTTCTTCCTCCTCCTCCTCCTCCTCCTCCTCCTCCTCGTCCTCCTCCTCCTCCTCCCCCTCCTCCTGACCACCTGGTGGCCAGCCCGGGCCACGCCCTGCACTCGACCGAGCCGGCCACGCCTGTGGAGAGGCCACCTGGGGCGGTCATGAAGGGCCCATGTTCCACCACCACTACCATGGGTAGGAGGGGGAGGAGGGGGAGGAGGAGAAGGAGGAGGGGAGGGGGAGGAGGAGGAGGAGGAGGAGGAGGAGGAGGAGGAGGAGGAGGAGGAGGAGGAGGAGGAGGAGGAGGAGGAGGAGGAGGTCGAGCGTGCCCAAATAGAGGAGGAGGAGGAGGACCTGAGGAGGAGAAGGACTCTCTCATCCTCCCTTCTGCCCCGTCCTGCATATGGCAGTGGTGGTCGAAGATGTGCCCACCACGTCACCGCCCTCCTGATGAGAACGTTGGGTGGGTTCACTGGCTCAGGGTGGAGGGATGAGTCTTGCTCGAGTCGGCGATGCATCGCCTGGGCGGGCTGGGCTGTCGGGCCCGGGCCCACGTCGGCGATGAGTGGGCGACGGGAGGCCGAGGCACGGCCCCCCTGAACCTGTCCCCCCCCCCAACGCTGCCCCGTAACCGCCCTCCTCTTGAGGAGGCCGCAGGCCCCCTCCGGGCTGAGTCGTGGCAGAGAAGAGACACCAGAAGACAAAGACCGCACTCCTCAGCACTGCTCATGATGGCTATCTTCCGTATCATCGACACGTAGGCAGATCTCGCACACCGCACGCTCTGGATGGTACCGATGGGAGCCCCGAAAGCGACCGTCCCTGGTGCCATGATTGCGCATCTAGGAGCTGCACTGGCACGGCACACCCTGCCAATACAGAGGCAACAACGCAGAGACCTCCGCACAACGCTCCCCGAGACTGCATAAAAAAAACACCCGCCATTGGCCCCTCGACGTGCAACAGAGCTACCACACAAAGAGCGGAAAGAGAGAGAGAGAGAGAGAGAGAGAGACGGCCTGTCCGCGTCCGCGCCCCCCCTCGTAGCCTTGCGGGGCATCGGCGGGGCGCTGCCTGCACCCGCGGCAGGGCCAGGGCGGGCTTGAGCCGAAGGGGCTCTGAGGCACGCAGAGGGCCTGGCCTCGAGCACCCCGCTGTCCGGGCCGACTCGCGGCCATGCGCCTCGTCCCCATCTGGCTGGGCCGATCCTGTGGTCGCCAATAACTGGCCATCGCTCGGGCGTCCATTCCCTGTGCTTGTTTTCGGGTTTCGTGCGTGGCTTTTTTTTCCCAGATGGTCAAGGATGCTCCTCGATGGTCCTCGCCGATGGAAAGGTGCACACGTCCGAGCGCTGCCAAGAGAGTAGACACCACCACCGCCTTCATCCCCCCTCCTCCTCCTCCAGTCTCTCTCTGCTGCCTCTCCTCGTTCCCGGGAGAGGGAGGATGAAGGGGCCCTGGGACACACAAATAAATACACACAAATAAAAATAGTTTCCATGTTTTCCCATATTTTCTGGGTTTTTGTTTTCCCCCTCACTTCCCATATTACTAACAGCGAAGACTGATAGGTTTCTAATAGGGTCAAAAGAGAGCATCATGACGCCCCAAGGGGGTCTGGGCGCGATCCGGGGGAGGATGCCGGGGACACTTTTTCTAGCCTGCAGTAACGCACTTCGTGGTCTTCGAGCTCCCAGAACTCCATTCCTGGGCACGATTTTGAATGCCCGGAGCCAACTGTCGGCCACTTCGTGGTCTTCGAGTTCCCAGAACTCCATTCCTGGGCATGATTTTGAATGCCCGGAGCCAACTGTAGGCCACTTCGTGTTCTTCGAGTTCCCAGAACTCCATTCCTGGGCATGATTTTGAATGCCCGGAGCCAACTGTAGGCCACTTCGTGGTCTTCGAGTTCCCAGAACTCCATTCCTGGGCATGATTTTGAATGCCCGGAGCCAACTGTAGGCCACTTCGTGTTCTTCGAGTTCCCAGAACTCCATTCCCGGGCCACATTTTGAATGCTGAGGCAGGCTGATGCTGAGGCTGAGGCAGGCTGAGGCTGAGGCAGGCTGAGGCTGAGGCCGAGGCTGAAGGCAGACTGAGGCTGAGGCTGAAGCAGGCTGAGGCTGAGGCTGAGGCAGGCTGAGGCTGAGGCTGAGGCAGGCTGATGCTGAGGCAGGCTGAGGCTGAGGCTGAGGCTGATGCAGGCTGAGGCTGAGGCAGGCTGAGGCCGAGGCTGAAGGCAGAGGCTGAGGCTGAGGCTGAAGCAGGCTGAGGCTGAGGCTGATGCAGGCTGAGGCTGAGGAGGCTGAGGCTGAGGCCGAGGCTGAAGGCAGACTGAGGCTGAGGCTGAAGCAGGCTGAGGCTGAGGCTGAGGCAGGCTGAGGCTGAGGCTGAGGCAGGCTGATGCTGAAGCAGGCTGAGGCTGAGGCTGAGGCAGGCTGAGGCTGAGGCTGAGGCAGGCTGAGGCTGAGGCAGGCTGAGGCTGAGGCTGAGGCTGAGGCAGGCTCAGGCTGAGGCAGGCTGAGGCTGAGGGCGAGGCTGCAGGCAGACTGAGGCTGAGGCTGAAGCAGGCTGAGGCTGAGGCTGAGGCAGGCTGAGGCTGAGGCTGAGGCAGGCTGATGCTGATGCAGGCTGAGGCTGAGGCTGAGGCTGCAGGCAGACTGAGGCTGAGGCTGAAGCAGGCTGAGGCTGAGGCTGAGGCTGAGGCTGAGGCTGAGGCTGAGGCTGAGGCAGGCTGATGCTGAGGCAGGCTGAGGCTGAGGCTGAGGCTGATGCAGGCTGAGGCTGAGGCAGGCTGAGGCTGAGGCCGAGGCTGAAGGCAGACTGAGGCTGAGGCTGAAGCAGGCTAAGGCTGAGGCTGAGGCAGGCTGAGGCTGAGGCTGAGGCAGGCTGATGCTGAGGCAGGCTGAGGCTGAGGCCGAGGCTGAAGGCAGACTGAGGCTGAGGCTGAAGCAGGCTGAGGCTGAGGCGAGGCAGAGGCAGGCTGAGGCTGAGGCTGAGGCAGGCTGAGGCTGAGGCAGGCTGAGGCTGAGGCTGAGGCTCATGCAGGCTGATGCTGAGGCAGGCGGAGGCTGAGGCCGAGGCTGAGGCAGGCTGAGGCTTGAGGCAGGCTGAGGCTGAGGCCGAGGCTGATGCAGGGTGAGGCTGAGGCTGAAGCAGGATGAGGCTGCTGCTGAGGCAGGCTGAGGCTGAGGCTGAGGCAAGCTGATGCTGAGGCAGGCTGAGGCTGAGGCTGAGGCTGAGGCAGGCTGAGGCTGAGGCAGGCGGAGGCTGAGGCCGAGGCTGAAGGCAGACTGAGGCTGAGGCTGAAGCAGGCTGAGGCTGAGGCTGAGGCAGGCTGAGGATGAGGCAGGCTGAGGCTGAGGCTGAGGCAGGTGAGGCTGAGCGTGACCCTTACGACTGCCGTTGCCACTGCGACTGTCATCGCAATTGCGACTACGACTGCGAGAACAGCGGAATTCTACAACTGGGATCTCATCTGAATCTTACGGGAATGCTTCAAAAATTATGCTCCTACACATCGCTGTCAGGTTGCTTTGCCGGGAGAAGTTTCCCATACTTTTGTTTGAATCGACGATTAAGTGTGTCTGTGTGTTGTTTTCCCTCCTGAGAGGAGGGGGTGAGGGAGGCGATGGTGGTGCACTCATCGGCCGGCAGGAAGTGGGCAGAACCACGAGTTGGGAAGGCGTTGGAAGCAGGCTGGATCTCCGCCCGCCCCCCGAATAGGAGGGAAGGAGGACACCACCCGAAGTAGACTGGGATCTGGCATTGGAACCCTGGGAGCCTTGGGAATCCGCAGGAGGCGCCCAGCGCGGGCCTGGAGCCTGGGACTCCAAGCGTAGTTACACCCTCAACGACTGACGCGTCTACTTGTGAGGCCCCGCCGCTCCGCCCCCGATGCACGTCGGTCGGAAGAAGTAGGTGAAAACATGAAGTATGAAGGCGGATTCAGCTGATTGGTTCCAGGCCCCCCCCAGGGAATAACAAAACACAGCAAAAGCGTGC